AATATCTTGCTGCATTTTGTATAAGTTCATACTCAAGTTTAAATAAACAACAACACTAAAGCTATTCTGTTATACCTGTATGTAAAAAATACACTGCACCCAAAATATTTCATAGTTCAGCAACACTGATCAATCTAATAAACTTAAACCTACTCCATCCTCCTATTCTGGTATTTTAAAGAGTACTTAGCAGAAATATTAAGCAACCTAACTAATAGGGTTGCAAACTGCAATCTTGAGTTTGGTCTGTTTGGAGGTCACAGCTGGATCGGTGAGCTTCACAGAGCTGTCCGCCTTCAGACTCGACGGTTTCCTGGATATGAAAAAAACAGAAGAAGAAGAAAGTCAGGTGACATAAAACACTAAAAGCTAACAAAGGGAAAGCTCCAGAGCAGCAATGTCAAACTGCTTCAGTGGCCACCTCTCTCCATCACTGAGCCGGTCTCAACTTTACAGCATTTAAAACATGTTTTTAATAACTAGATTATTTTGATGCTGCTGAGGCTTCACTGACAGGTGGATGCTGACACCAGTCGCCCTGCTACGCCTCCATGGTTGTGCCATTTGGAACAACCTGCTTTTCTTTAATATTCATCAGTGTGATGCTCAGATTACGTGTTTCTGTTTGTTCTACAGTTTATGGATGCAGTTTGCTGTGGGGAGAAGATAAGTCAGCACAACAACCTCTCATTGCTTTAACACAGCGAAGGCTACAACACCAACACTGAGGCTCTGTCCCTCTTTCACATACAGTCTATGAACTGAACTACTTAAATAGGAGGATGTTGTCTGCCTGATATCTAAACTGATGAAGGAATGGAGAGTTTAAATGGTAGTTGTAAACAGCTATATCATATAACTGCAGCTGTAGCTGTGATCAGACATCCCCCTGCAGACCCTGAAGCTGAGCTCTGAGCTCCTCACAAACCTGCTGGAGTCAGCTTCCATCCTGGGGAGCACGTTTTTGTGTTTCAGCGCGGGGCGAGGCACAAAACCCAGATCTCCCGGCCTGTAGCGGGCCAGCTGGAACTGGAAACTCCAATCTGGATCCAGACTTCTTGTTCTACACAGATATAGATGCAGGATTTCTGTCAGTCGTCGACCTGTCGGGTATTTGCAGACCATCTTAGCGAGCACTGATTTTATTACCGGGCTGCTGCAGAGTCAGCCGTCTGCAGCTCGTTCACTTTGCCGCTGTCAGCAGCGGAGCTGGCAAATCCGTCTCTGCTTAAAAGCACCAGCATCCTCTGCATCAGCTGCTTCCACTGGTCCACCTCTGAGTCCTGCTAGAGCAGCGGAGCTGGCAAATCCGTCTCTGCTTAAAAGCACCAGCATCCTCTGCATCAGCTGCTTCCACTGGTCCAACTCTCAGTCCTGCTGCAGGTGAAAACAAGACTGAAACAGTCTGATTGGCTGAGATAAAGACCTCACCTTCTTCACTGGAGCATTGAACCATCGTCATCGACAGACAAATAAAATGAATTCAGTTTTCTTGCAACAACTTTGTCTTTTACAGATAAATTCCACCTTGTCATAAATCTCCTTTTTTCATTTCTGTATTCTAAAACATAAACGTTAATGAGGCGAATACCTCGTGTGTTCTGTGTTAGCTGAAGGTTTCAGACTTTTACTTTGAAATGATGTCGCTGTCATCTTACCATCAGTGCTTGTCTGAGAGCAACAGCTGCTTCCTGAATGATGTTCTTCATCCTGCTCCTCCTCCTCCTCTCCTGTTGAAGCTCCGCCTCCAGCCGGCTGACCTGAGCTCTGTTTTTACTGCACTGTTCAGACAGAGAGGCCTGATTCTGCCTGAAAGCACAAGCAGAGGGGGGTATAGCTCAGTGGTAGAGCATTTGACTGCAGATCAAGAGGTCTCCGGTTCAAATCCGGATGCCCCCTGAACAAATGTTATGCCACCCTGAGCTACCTGCCATCATAGTTCAGAGCAGGAGTGGGAATGTGTTTTAGATGTGTCCTTGATCCAACACAGCTGATCTAAATGGCTAAATGACCTCCTCAACCTGTCCTGAAGTTCTCCAGAGGCCTGGTAATGACCTAATCATGTGATTCAGGTGTGCTGACCCAGGGTGAGATCACAGGAGACTCTTCAGCTTTTCCTCAAAGTGAAACAATTTCTCCCCTTTAAGGAAAAGATCACTTTCTACTCCATATAATTTATTTTTCAACTTCAAAACAATCCTTACTCTTCTTCATCCTCTGCATTTAAGCCACCTTTCTTCTGACTGGTTGCCTCTTTCAAACAGGTTTGTCCTGAACAGTGCATATATGGCAGAAATGATAATAACAGGCTCACCCTGACATGTTTAACTAATAATAATAAATAATGAACGATATCAGTGAGTACTCCAAACTGATGCACAACTTTGTTTTCTGCCTGAATCTGAGCCTTTAAACTAAAATACACTTCTCTAGTTTTGCATGTAAAGAATTATTCATTTTGAATGAACACGTTTCCTGTTGTGTTTCTATGTACAAATAATAATTTATGGAGTTAAATGTACGATATTTCACAGACACTGTTTTGTGTGGCCGTGGTTGACACGTCAGGTCAAGGCTGCTCTTATCTTGCAGCGTCTCTTCTCTGCATGTGTGAAAGAGGGATTTATGAGCTCTTGGCTTGGAAACACAGAGGAGCAACTGAGTGTGAAGAAAAGCAGCATTCAGCTCTTGGCTTGGAAACACAGAGGAGCAACTGAGGTGGAAAAGAAGGAGGCGAGCACTCCGAGTCACTGATGACAGCAGCTGGGACCGCTGCAAACGTCGCTTTCTTTGTCTGCAGTGATGAACAAGGCTTCATTGTGCAGAGATCTGCGTCTGCCTGAGAAGAATGCGACCTTGCTGATAAGAAAAGTAGCAAAGCAGAGCAGAGCAGTGAGTAATGAGCATTTAATGTTCATATCAGGCACCTGTTTGAGTACCTGCTTGATGGGAGCCAAAGTGCTCTTTTCTAGAGGCATTTTTTTAGTGTGTGTGTGGAGTCCTGCCTGTGCCCCTCACATTAACATTTAACTATTAATCACAGTGTTGCTAAATAACGCACTGCCGCCTCATATCAATTTGAGAGTCGAGATAAGAAGACTACAAATTTTAACAAACGAAGGCACTACTCGCGAGAGAGATACACAGTCGCGCCAGTCTGGGTGCAAATTCAGTCACAATGATGAGAGCGACTTACGAATAGAAAATCCGGCCCGGCACTTTATCATTTGGAACAGAGTCATCAGAGCATGGAAGCTCCAGGTATCACGGACGTGAGTCAGGAAGCGAGCTTCTTACACAGCGACGCAGTTGAGTATTACTTGTTGTGTACCACGTGGTCCAGTTTGTGTTGTGGCACACATGGAACGATTTGATATTCAGAAATGGAGTTGCATGTTGTGAAGTAACAGCGAGTAGAAGACGAGGAACTCCATTCCACCATGTCCTTTTATTACAAACATCGCAATAGTTTAGAACTCAACATAGTAGACACTTCACAAGAGGTGAGGAGGGGCTAGTGCCGGGGCTGTGGGGTCTGGTCCCCAGGGAGTATAATGGATACAGTTATGTTATTTTCAGTACAGGTCCGCTTTTCCTCCTTTATCGGTTGGATCGCGTTTTATATTGTAGTTATATTAAGCACACTTAACGGAGTTACGGAGGGTGGGGTGTGTTCGTGTTGTGTGTGTGGTGTAGGTGTGATTGTTGTTTTGGCCTTATGATTCCAAGCACTGTCACCAATCTTTGCATTTCATTATTATCTCACCTGTTTAATCAGCTACATTCTCTCCAATGGACTTTTTACCGTCTACGGTCTCAGATCCACACAGCCCCGCCCTCCAGCCCCGCCCTGCAGCACTGTCAGCAGCAACATTGTACCCATCAGGTAAAACATAGGCTAGTTTCTTGATGAATGTGGGTTGTTGTTCCAGGCTGAACGCTTCCCTTTTTAACTTTGAGCCCCGCCCCTTCAAACCTCTGCACGGCTCGGGTTCATTTTCATTCTGAATACAAATTTCTGTATTTCTGCTGCAAGTGCAGGAACTCAGCTCAACAGCACTAATGTAAAATACTAGTTTATGTCTTTGTATTGAAGTAAAACAAAAATGAGTGCACAAATATTTTTCTATTTTTAAATATTAATACATGAATTTTCCAGCAATCATAAGTAAAAAAGGAATAAACTATAAAGTACTGTGGGTGTTTTCTTGTCTCGTTCAGGGAGGCCTCATCATCATGATCCAGCCATCAGCTGCTACCAGTAACAGGATTCAGTGCTTTTATGTTTCCTGTCTGTCTCTTTTGTGTCTCTGTTGTTATTGATTTATTTGATTACTTATTATTGATGAATCTCACTGTGGAGTTATCGCTTGCATATAAACGTACCACAAATGAGACTACGAGCCCGTATGTGTAATAACTGCACCTGCTGCTTTGCTTTCATTAACATGAACGTGAACCTGAGTGAGACTCATCTGTACGGACGGCAGAGTGAACTTTGACCTCAGCGCCTCCATCTTGCCCAGGGCTCCTGCGTGTTCGGTCTGAAGCTGCTCGAGCCGCTGCCTGCAGTCCTTCTGCTCCGCCTGCAGCTGCTGGCACTTCTTGTGAGCTGTCCAAGGCAGAGACACCATCGCGTGATGAGAGGAGAGTTGGCGGTTCATGGGATTCTAGAAAAGGTTCCGAGATCCCTTGTTATAGTGTGGATGACAGTCTAAAAACAAATGGTTGAGCCGGTTAAAAATCTACGTTAGAAAAAACGGAGCTGAGAGACAGCTTGGGACTACACGAGTCTAATGTCTATAAGGATACATAATTTATCTCATTTTATTTTCTAGTAAAATACGGCCTTTTAAAGATTTTATATACTAAATAGTAAAACAGTGGACTTATTAGAAAGCCAACATTCTATGTAAAATTCAACTGCGCAGTGTTACAGGCTCGAGAAAGCATGGACTGTAGTTAGGCTACACACTGATTATTAAAAAAATATATGACACGATATAAACTTAAAGACATTTAGAATTCCTTCTCTTACCTTCTTACGGACGCAGCTGGTGCGTGACGTCTCTCTGAGCATTTCTTCCAGGTTTTCCACATCCGTGCTGAGCTGACTCTTGCAGCCCCGCAGGGCGGCATTCTCCTCCATCAGGATCTGCACCTGCTCCGACAGCTGCCCCACGCAAGCTTTCACCTCCGCGTTCTCCTGCAGCGCCAGCCTGGTCGTCTCTGGGACTTTCTGGTCCACCAGGAGCTGCACCTCTGCTGCCATGGCTGCAGCGTGAGACTCCATCTCCCTCTCCAATCTTTGGCAGGACACAAGACAAAGGAGGAAAAGTCAGAGGGTATTTTAGGTGGATAATTCAGGTATGCAGCCTTGTGAGGAGACACTGACGATATTTGTGTATTTGCTGTGCAGTAGATAAGGTGAGTGTTCTCATATATAGCCAGATATTTATTCAATTCAATTTTATTTATATAGCGCCAAATCACAACAAAAGTTGCCTCAAGGCGCTTCATATTGTACAGTAGATACAGAGAAAAACCCAACAATCATATGACCCCCTATGAACAAGCACTTTGGTTTGGCGACAGTGGGAAGGAAAAACTCCCTTTTAACAGGAAGAAACCTCCGGCAGAACCAGGCTCAGGGAGGGGCGGGGCCATCTGCTGCGATTGGTTGGGGTGAGAGAAAACTTATTTTATGCCCTTAAATTTATGCCTGCAGGTTCAGAGCTTCAAAGGAACACGACCCTTGGTGGGACGAGGATGACATAAAGGAAAAAACATTCGTGCTACAGAGGCAGGATAACATGTCGTCCTGAAGACAAGCTGCGAGTTGCTGCGATGACACGGATTTGTTTACAGTCTGAACTTAAACTAGTTTCTACGAGTGGACTCGACCCGGGTAATGGAACGAGTCTGTGCTGTGATTTTTATGTACTAAAGTGGATTCCACCTCCTCTTTTCCAGCAGCGCTTTCATCTCCAGGCTGTGAATGTCATCCTTGTGCTCTTCCTTCTGACTTGCCAGCTGCTTCTCCAGAGACTCTAAGCTGGACATCATCTCCTCCTTTTGCCCCTGAAACGCCTCCAGGCTTGCAAACCTCTCTGCTAGAGGAGAGAAGAGGAGAGTTTAAATCATTCCCTGAAGCCAGTCTTTGCTGAAATAAACCTCCTGAAAGTTTAATGGTTCCTGCTGGAAACACTTGCATCCAAAAGAAATCTGGGCTGGATTTTCAAGGAATACTATAAATATAGGAATACTATAAAGCTGAGCTCCTTTTAACATCTTTGGCAGGGAGAGGCTGATCGAGGCCTCTTCCAGCAAATCACTGTCAGCTCTTTTCAGCCTTTCCAAAAGTAAAACCTTTTTTTAAATTTTAGTATTATTAATTTCTATATTTGAGAAAAAACAAAAAGGCTTTAATTGGAAGGAAAACTTTTGAGTTCCCACATTTGAATTCTTGTGGCAGACACTTCATGGTATGATACAACATTAAACTAATGTTTAAGAACAGGCTTCAGAAAGTTAAATGGAAAATGTATATTCTCCTGAAATGCAAAGACATATTTAATTTAACATATTTAAAATATCACGAGATTCCAAATAATGTAATCATTAAGATTCCCCCACAGAGCTTTATTAATGCTACACAGACAGGGACACACACCACCCTCATAAATATGAACAAATACTTTGGAGTAAAATCCATCTGAAATGTATAAAATCAAAGATTTATTTATTCAAATAATTGATTATTGAGGAAAATATGTCTCTGTATAAACTGAACTCATACCAGTCGTTTGACCAGATGCCATTAAAATTAGTGGACTATGGAGAGATCATCTACATCTCAGTGAGTAACAAACTAGAATCTATTTACCAAGTTGCTGATCGACCGAAGATTCCTATTAAAAATTTGTTACACGGTAATATACTTTTCAAACAAAAGAATGGAGGGTGATTACTTTGTAATATGGAATTTGCGTGAATATGTGATAGAACATGAATGATATACACAAACGGAGACAGGAAGATCCCAGAGAATTTCATTCTTTTATTTAAAAAAAATCACTTATATTAATTCATCTAAGAGAGAGCATCAAAGACAAATCTCACCTTAACCCCAATTACATGCCAAACATTATTATGATGAAATTTAGCTAAATTGATAACACCGTGTGTAAAACATCACTGGTGGTTCACATGCCAAGCACATTAAAGAGCTGAAAATCACTTCTTACCCAAGAGTTGCCTAGTGCAATGTGTTTTCTTTGATAAGCTCATCGATGCGGTTCTGTAGCTCCTGCCTCTCCCGGCTGTGCCGCAGCTGCAGGGCGTCTCTTTCCTGATCTGAAGCCTGCAGCTGGTTCTGCAGCCGCTGCGACAGCTCGCCCACCTCGTCCTCCTTCTCCAACAGGGAACGCTTCAGGTACGCGATCGTGTCTCTGTTCTCCTGCTCCAGTGTGCTGCGCTGAGTCAGCAAGTCTTTCCTCTGTCTCACAAGGTCATCACATTTCAGCTGATATCTGAGGGGTTAAGGATGACAGCTTCAACGATTTATAAACTGCATCTGGCCTTTTCTGGATTTGAAGCAGCTCTACAGCTCGAGCAGAGCATGCACTGTCTGAGTGACCTCAAGCTCACTCAGACCGATGGATGCCTGAAACAAATAAATATGTGAAGGTCTCGAGGCCTGTAGAAACCACAGTTTTGCAGGTGTGGGAGTGATATTTTATTTCCAGCTTCTCAAATACAAAATATCTTTAAAACAGGCCACATCAGGTGAATGTTTTGACAGATATTAAAGCTGGAAAACCCTAAAAAATATTCCCAGTGTGACATGTACCAAATCCAAATGAATTTTTTTTTTAGAAAAAGCAAGTTTCCAATACTTGAAAAACAAACAGACACTTTCAACACTTAATTTTCTTTCTTTTGAGAAAATTCTGACAGTAAGCACCTAAAATTACTGACACAAGACAATCAACTTGCCTGAAATACTTTAATATTCTTTTTGAACCTTGGTTAGTTTCAAAGTCACCACAAAGCAGTGTGAGAAACACGAGTCTCACACTACAATTTACTCTTGGTTACCCTTTTTCTTAATTTTACAATTAAATTTTTATTGCTTTTGCAACCGCCACTCTATATATATTCTGGTTTTGTTATATCCTCTCACAATGATCAAATCCTAATGGCCCCCTCGATGATAATACGGTCAACCCCCACCTGGTTCGCCACCCCCCACACCCTCTGGGAAATCCGAAGGGCCTGTGGTCGGCTCCTCCGTAGGAGGGGTAAAGTCTGTTTGAGGAGCAAGGCACACTTTTAAGGCATTCCTATGTAAAGTTTGTATATTACCCCCCTTTTCTGGTTTGACCTTATACACTAAGCCCGTATCTCCCACCTGTTCCAACACCACATACGGCTCAGGAGACCACCAGGAACACAGTTTTCCTTTGCCCTGTCTGTTTCGATCACGTACCCAGACTCTCTCCCCGGGCAACAATGGAAGGGTACAGCCTCTTTTCTCATACTGGCTTTTGTGTTGGGAGGCTGCACTACACATCTTCTGCCCAGCCAATCGATAAGCTAGGGAGAGCTTCTGATGATGGGAACACACCCACTCACTCAAACCCTGCCTCGCCTGTTGGGGGCCCACACCTAACACCACATCCACAGGCAGACGTAAATGCCGACCAAACATCAAGTAGGCAGGTGCGTAACCGGTGGAGCTATGGATAGTATTGTTATAAGCATGAACAAGTTCCGGCAGATTTCCTACCCACTGGCTCTGCCTAACTGATTCTAGTGAGCGAAGCATGTTCAATAGGGTCTGATTGAAACGTTCTACACTACCATTCCCCTGCTGTTTGGTTTATTGTAGGGATAGCCCAAGCGAACCGCGTAAACAGATCAGTCACCACAAGTATGTTTTGATAAGTGTCAGTTGGTCGGCCTAAGGACAGAAAATCCATGCCTACAACCTCCAAAGGGTATGAGACTGAAATAGGGTGCAGTGGAGCCCTAGGTTCTACTCTCTCCTTTTGTAGACTACAGGGGACACAACCCAGATGAAACTGACGTACCTGCGCTTCCATGTTAACCCAATAGAACCGCTGCCGTATCCGAGAGAGGGTTCGATCTACCCCCGCATGGGCAGCAGCCTCATGGACCTTCCGCCACACCTCATGGCACCTGGAACTAGGACACACAACTTGATAACGAGTCTCCTGGGTATATTCGTCCAACACCCTACGGCACAGTACTCCGTCTTTAAGAAAAAGTCTTTTTTGCTGCTGCAGGAGTCGCCGCACAGTACTCCGTCTTTAAGAAAAAGTCTTTTTTGCTGCTGCAGGAGTCGCCGCACACCATGTGACAATGCCTGACGTTCTGACTTTGTGGGTGCGACCTGGCCTTCCAGAAGTTGTTTTACCACTTGAATATCCGGATCGTGAACTTGTGCTTCTGCCCAGTCCCTCCCCTCTACCTCACAGGTCAATTCAATGGCTGCTGAAGTGACTCCACGCTCCGATCCAGCCCCCTCCAGGTGCTCTGCTGGGACAGTGGGGAATCGAGAAAGGGCATCAGCATTAATATTGCTCTTACCCGAACGATACTTGATCTCGTAGTCAAAAGAGGCCAGCTGGGCAACCCAACGTTGTTCTACTGCGCCCAAGCGAGCAGTCTGTAAATGGGCCACAGGGTTATTATCAGTATACACAACGAATCGTGCACCAGTCAGATAGTCTTTAAACTTTTCGGTAACTGCCCACTTAAGGGCTAACAGCTCCAACTTGAAAGAACTATAGTTTGCGTCATTCCGTTCCGTGTGGTGTAAGCTTCTGCTGGCGTACGCTATTACCCTTTCTTGGCCCTCTTGAACCTGCGCCAGAACGGCTCCCAGCCCGCGGCCACTGGCATCCGTATACACAATAAAGGGAAGAGAGTAATCTGCGTATGCCAAAACAGGTGCCTGCGTTAAAGCTGCTTTGAGGGCCTCAAATGCCGTTTGACATTCTGGGGACCACTGTACTTTACGACGGTCTGTTCTCTTGTTCACAGGGACCCCTGTCAATAATGCATTTAAAGGGCGTGCGATTTTAGCAAAGCCGGACACAAAACGTCTGTAGTAACCAGCCAGGCCCAAAAAGGATCTGACCTGTCTGATGGTATCAGGGACCGGCCAATCCATCACCGCAGAAATCTTATCAGGGTCTGGTCTTACACCATACTTATCCACTACATGCCCCAGAAATTTCACCTCTTGTTGCAGGAACTCGCACTTGTTCGGCTGTAACTTCAACCCATGACGCCACAGCCTCTGAAACACTTCATCTAGATGCTGTAAATGAGACGAAAAGTCAGGTGAATAAATGATAATGTCATCTAAGTACACCAATAAAGACTCGGCAATCTGTCCACTCAAACAGTGCTGCATCAGGCGTTGAAATGTTGCGGGTGCATTGCACAGACCAAACGGCATCCGCTCGAACTCAAACAACCCAACTGGGGTCGTAAAAGCAGTCTTTTCTCTGTCCGTCGGGTCCATTTGGACCTGCCAGTATCCACTGGCTAAGTCCAGGGTGGAAAACCACTTCGCTCGAGTAAGGCTTGTCAATGTCTCTTCTATTCGTGGCAAGGGGAAAGCATCTTTATGAGTCACCGCATTCAATTTTCTGTAGTCCACACAGAACCTCCAGGCACCATCCTTTTTTCTCACCAAAACAATGGGTGCAGCCCACGGGCTACAGCTTTCCCGGATAACTCCCTTTGCCATCATATCTGCCAAGAGACTCCTCATTTCCTTATACATTGCGGGGGGCAAAGGACGATACCTCTCTCTAATGGGAGCTGCATCACCTGTGGGGATACAATGATGCACCAGGTCAGTCCTCCCGAAATCTTCGTCATCTTTAGAGAACACCTTCTCCCATTTAAGCAATAAAGCACGTAGCTCGCCCTGTTGCAGTTCAGACAGGTCAGGTCTTTCAATCAGTTTATTCATCTCCTCAGGTAATCTCTCCTCCTCCGTGGGGGCGCCACTATCGACCAGAGCCACCTCCACCACACCGTCCGTCCCAAGGGACAGGCTCAGGTCCTGTGAGCCATGTACGTCAGCTTCATCCACGCAGGATAGCTTTCCCAGTTTCTGGTAGCGACCTATAAAAAGAGGATAGGGGTGTGGGTTACAAATCCTCACTGGCACTCTCCCGGCCCTTACCATGACAAGGGTTCTCGCCACCCCCACATCAGGGGTTTCAGGCAGTGCCTCCACCAGGGCACAATAATCTGTTCCTTGCGGACCTGTCTGAGTCCGGCCCCACACCATTATTTCACTCCTCGGGGGAACTTTAATTTTGCGTCGGCTAGCTAGCCGTACATACCCCATCATTCCGTCCTCCACTGTACTTGCTTCTATCCGTCTGCATGTTGCGAAGGCAGTCCTCCAGGCCTGTTGATTCGTTAATTGCTGTGGGGCAGGAGTAGTCTTTTCCGGCCACTTAAATACATTCCAACAGGCAGTCACAACATTCATACCAATAATCAGTGGGTGAGTGCAATGGTCATCTTTTACCACCACAACCCCGCGTCCAGGAACCTTAACACCTTCTATTTCCATGTCCAGGACAGCATAGGTGGTATAGGGAATTTCCAGACCATTGGCGGCTCTCAGCCTAAAGGCGGTTGGAGTTTTCTCAAGCCTAGCCTGGGAAAAATGCTCATTAAACAGACTCTCCTGTATCAAAGTCACTTGTGCCGGTATCTACTCCCTTCACCCTGGCCAAAAAGGCTAAAATGACCAAAGAAAATGTGGGAAACAGCTAAACATGAGATGTTTTTGGACAAAGTTTGTTTTTTCCATTGTTTAAGCACTGCTTCCAGCCAAGAGTGATACCATAAATCCCCTATAGCTGCAGAAAAGGCTAATATTGTTATCTTTTTACAAAAAACAGCTAAACATGAGATGTTTTTGGACAAAGTTTGTTTTTTCCATTGTTTAAGCACTGCTTCCAGCCCAGAGTGATACCATAAATCCCCTATAGCTGCAGAAAAGGCTAACATTGTTATCTTTTTACAAAAAACAGCTAAACATGAGAGGTTTTGGACAAAGTTTGTGTTCTTGATTCTTTAAGCACCGGTTCGAGCACTGTTTAAGCACTGGCACCGTTTCAAAAGTACCGGATTGGGACTGGTATCGGATAAAACCTAAACGATACCCATCCCTATGCTGCACTGTGCACCAATCCAACACAGTGCTTCACTGTGAATCCACCACACCAATGCAAATTAAGCTATATATTTATATATATAATATAACTACCCACTAACATGCAACATTTGAATAACAGCTAACAGGAGTTAGCACAGCTTAGCTTTATATATAAAACATGTGATAATATACGTAATTTATCAATGTGATTGATAATGATGACATCATATGTAAGCTTTAAATTTGCAGTTAATTTGCCCTTACCTTTAAATATAACCTCTCATCTTCCTCTCCTGTTCTTTCTGTTTTCCTACATCTTTCTCCATCACTGAGTGAAGTTAGTGCTCTCTCTTTTCTTTCCCTGGAAATACAGCAGCTGAACCTTTACCTGGCAACACACTGTGTGACAAAATGCAGACAAACAGTTTGTGTGATTGTTGATGTTTGTTTAGCTGATAGAAACATTACATTTGAAATGACCTAACACTTAAAAAATGCCACTCCTTTCATGCTTCCCCCCTTCTGTAGCACTAGATTCTGATGTATCACAAACACAACATACTTAGACCTACACTCCTTTCCCCCACTTAAATTCCCGAAGTAACAAGTCTGTTAGAAAATATAAAAAGTGGAAAGCATAAATATTTATGTAAAAATGTAGAGAGTAAAGAAAAAAGTTGTCAGAAATTAAAATACTCAAATAAAGTACAGAATCCTAAAATTTCTACTAAAGTAGAATAACGTAGGTATTTGTACTTTGTAACTTTCCACCTATGGTCACCATTAGATGTCACAAAGTGTGGAATGCAAATTTCACAACACACATTTAATAAACAAAATATGAAGCCCTACAGGCAATAACAAGTTCAATAGCTCAGAGAGAAAACCTCAGAAAAAGTTTCACACAAGGCATTGGTGACAGAAAATAATCTAAACAGGCATCCGTGACTCAGTTTCAGTGCTATCGTTACAAAAAAAAAATGTGGAAAATCTTTATAGACCCTTTGATAAAACCTGCGCAAACAATCGTTTTCCAACAAAGGTCAAAGTGACTTCTGATGAAACAAAGAAATGGCCTGTTTTTCAAGTGTTATCATGACTGTATTATCTCCCTCCAGGAATTTGTTGCCATTTATGAGTCCTTATATTGATGCTATAAATATTGTTCCCTATACTGAGGTAATGATTGTTAATCTTTCACTGATAAATTCAAAAAAGTAGCTGGAAACATGCAACAGAAATTGGCAGTGCTAAAGAGGCTGAACACAATAGCTGTGGGCTGTGTTCACCTGGATTGTACTTACATCATTATGGAGGTGCATATCAAGTTGTTCCATAGGTTATAGTGCAGGATTTCAGAGGAGTGTTGATATGAGGCAGATTTCCCACTGAAGCATAAATCTTCAGTATCAGTGAGCTTAGAGATTTTCAGCTCTAACTCAAATGTTGTGAAGCTGTGCACTTTGTTAACAATGGCAAAGAAAGGTGATATAACTCACCACTTTTATCTTTCTTGTCTTTTTAGGGAACTTGTCCAGAGCATCTTTCCACAGAAGAAGATCTTATTTCATTCCTGGTTTCAGCTCCTGCTTCTATTTTGTGTTTTGGCCTTAGGCTTGTGTTACACCCTGTCCAGCCGCCCGCTGTCACTATGGCAGAGCTTCCCACTGCAGGAACAATACCAGTGGTTTTTAAACCAGAACAGTAGGGTTAATGCACCTGCTTACCGCATTCACCCCAAAAACAAAGTTATATTAAACAAAACCACTGAACCTTCGACTGTGCGATCTACCTCCCTCCAGTACCACCAAGCCTATCCACGCAACTACCATTTTCTTATGGATAACACAGAGGTTTGCAAGAACAAGATCCCATTCCTGGTTCTCA